ATCTCAGTTGAGCAGGGGAGGGTTAGGACTTAGAGTTGTCAAGCTGTGTGGCCTGAGTATGTTCCACACAGCTACTATTCCTTGTCCTGCATTCCTACAGCTCACCACTACTTTCCTGCATTGCACGAAACCACTTTTAGTGTTCAACACTAACTATAAATCATAGCCATTGAAAATATTTATGCCGACACCGACACCCATTGTGACTGCTGAAAGAACAGTGCTGAGGAAACACTGCGAATGTGGGTTACTTGCTCTGTCCACGGTGGACAGCAAGATATCTCTCAGATGTTTTTCAAATCTAGATATTGAGAAGCGGAAAAGCCCGTTCAGGTAGTCTTCTTTGTGTGATTGATGCACTCATGGCCTGTATCCAGTCATCATGTCTCCATCAGCCCTGTCCTCCCACTGTCCGCATTTGAGGGTGCAAGTCTGTAGAGCAGAGTCTGCTCTATCCATGTAGGCCCCTCTCCCAAGATGCAGAAGCAGGGTGTTTGTTTTTTCCCAACCAGAACTCACTGGAGCTCATTTCTGGCACCTCTCAGGTGGGCACCATTGTCATTCTAAGATAACAAGGGAGGCATTCACAGTGAGTTTTGGCACCTCTTTTTCTAGACAAATAGAACACTGTATGGTTAGGGTTCGACATCATGGGCCAACCCGTAGGGCAGACAGTTTACAGAGACATGGGGGTAGGGCTAGACCCAGCCTCTCACTCTTACAATTCTTATTTTCATATGTGGGATGGCTTGAGTAGGATTCATTTTTTCCCTATAAACTGGATACAGGGTGAGAATACTGCGAGGGCATCAGAAATATGATTTTGGCCACCATGACTGCACTATTGACCTGTTACAGTTCTATGCAGCATTGTAGTTGCACTAATGAAGAACTCTACTGTCACAAAATATCAAATTACTAAGGATTTTTGTTTTCTTGAGGAGGTGTCTTGTTGTTTTAATGGGCTAACACATATGCTTTGTCAAAGATTATCCCCTGTGTTTATTTGCTGGCACACATCAATGCAGTTCAGTGTGATGTACTGTGTAAGGAGCAGCAAAGTTAAATTGGTGCAAACAATATCAAATTCGCCCCTTTACTCAGAACAGTCCATGCCACCAACCCAGCATTCCATGAACATTCATTTTCCAAAACAAATGTATCCCTCTCAGTGCTTCGATATACATCTAGAGCCACCAAAAGCAACAAACATATTTAGAAAGTGGTACAGAAGAAATCTCCCCAAAGGACTGACAGGGTTATATGTGACCTGGTTTTGGCATGCTATACTATGGATCTTATGAACTTCATTTGGCTCCTGTCCTGCAAGGGATCATTGAGCAAATTAAGCCATTTATTTATATATTTAAAACATCAGAGCCGTTTTTAACAATCATACATAAAACCATACAATAAAAATTAAATTAAATCAGAACTCAACTAACTATTGCAGAAGGATATTTTCTTAACTGCCAGCATAGCAGTTGGCAGCATAGAACGATTTTCAACAGGTGATTGAAGGTTGAAAAGGAAGGCACCTGCTGAATCTCTGATGGCAGCGCATTGCACAGGACTGGACTGCTGACACTGAAGAGCTTGGGTTTTTTTGTTACTGTCAAAGGAGCCTCATCAATTTGAAAAGTTTCCTTCCAGATTTGCATTTGTAGTTGAATCAGGGACACTGGGCACACAAATGACGTGAGTTAGACTTGGGTGAAGGCTTTGGAAACAAGTTGCTGTTGCATCTAATGTAATGTTTGGCTTGCCAGTACTGCGGCTGCCTCTACTATGCCAAATTAAACCCATTAAGAGTACATCAGTAACCCCTTTGGCAGGACTGGAAGGTATACCTTTGGCTGCACATACGCAGATCATCCTTGAGGATAAATAGTTATATGAAGGTGGCCCCTTTCATTTTGCCTCAGCAGACTGGCATGCCAGCTTCCTGTACATGGCTCTGTCCTTGAGGGCCTTGGTGGAGATGTGAGGGAGAAGTGGGAATACATCCCGAAAGCCAGCAAGTTGTGCATGAGATGTTTGGCTTACATCAGAGCGGTGGGGAATGCAAATGAGTTGCTGAACAGATGGAGAGGCATTCACATACAACTTTAGCAAAACCAAAACCATAATATTCAATAGGTAGGTCTGTTCAGGTGTGTTTTTAAAAAAATCAAAATTAATATAAATCAAAACTATTATCTTCCCTGATATGATTCAGTAATAAGAGGGGCAAACAATTCCCTTTTTTCTGAAATGAATTCCTAACAAGTGAGGCCTGTGTAGAATGCTCTCATTTAGACCACATTCACACCATACATGTAGAAACACCATGATACCACTTTAAGCAGTCATGACTTCCCCCCAAAGAATTCTGGGAGCTGTAGTTTGTTAAGGGTGCTAAGCATTGTTAGGAGACCCTAGTCCCATGGCTCCCAATGTGAGGCACATGCCCCATGCCCCACAGGAGGGCAATTTGATTTTTAACGGAGGCAATTTGGAAGCTTGTTTAGACCAATTAATGGCCTTTTAGGCTTCTTCCACGTGAATACGAGTTCACTTTTTGAATAATAATAATTATATGTCATGGGGCGGGGAGGGGGGCATCAGGATTTTAGGGATGCTTAGGTCGGGCAAGGCCAAAGAAAGGTTGGGAACCACTGCCCTAGTCCCACTCTCAGAGCTACAATTTGCGGAGTAACTTAACGGTCTAATTCTCCTTTTCACAGGGAACTCTAGGTGAGTGCTGTGCTGAAGTGCGGAAACTCACCCCTAGACGAATTGAGCTAGGAAGCCCAGAGACTGTGTTGAAACAGCAAGATGTATAATGTTGTACCTGCTTTGTTGCATAAGGATGCGGTAAACCACCAACAAATATTGGTCCTGTTGCATCCCAAATGAAAGTCGACCAATGGTTGCTGGACATGCTTGCTTTTGTAGCTACTCCCAGGATAGCCACTTCAGCCTCGCACATTGCCAAGTCTTGCCTGCGTAAATATAGAAAGAGGGAAAGTTTTGCAGATGAGCCATGCATTGCATAAACGCTTCTCAGGCAAACAAACTGGAGTGCTGCCAAGTCAAGGAGGAATGAAAACGAGGCAAGCAGCTCATCTTATATTGAACCCCATAAACATAAACTATTTGATGATCAGGCTGTAAGCTGGCATGTCTTTGGGGTGCAATTGTAATTACAATGAAATCACTGTGTGAAAAGAGAAGTGCAGAATAGCTCCTTAACGGTTGCAAGAGGGAACGACTCAAAGTCATTCTTTAAATAAATATTTCTAAATAAAATGCTTATGTAGCTGTTCCTTGGTAAATGTGTCTAAATGAAATATTAATGTACCATTAGAATGTATATTTTCATATTGGAGATTAAGGGTCTCTGTTAGGGGGTGGGCTGCAGTTCAGTTGTGGAGCATCTGTGAGGGCTTATGCACATTTGTGTTTGCCCTGTGGTTTCTCTGCATGGGTCTGATAGGTTTTTCTTTCACCCTACCACTTTCTCTGGGGAAATCCATGGTTTACCACTGAATCAACCGGGTTTTCTGCAGATTGACATTTGTTCTGATTCAGCGGTAAACCATGAGTTTTCCTGGGGAAAGCGGTGGGGCAAAAGGAATACCTCTCAGATCCATGACTAGAAATCATGGAACAAACAGAAGAAACTGTGGGGCAAACGGGAGTTTGGATGAGGCCACAGAAGAAGAAGAAGCCACCCAGTGAAGAAGTCCTGGCCTTTGTGAGACTAACATCTAGCCACTTCAACCGTCAGTTCTACTGTATGCTGAGAACAAAGGCAGGTGCAGTGGGGAACTTCTGTAGTGAGTATTGCAGTATTGTCTATTTCATATTGCAAGCTGCCTCAAGAACGTTGGTCAGTAGTAAGGGTATGAATATTCCTAAATAAATAAATAAATATAAAAACTGACTTTCATTGGGAGGAGGAATGGAATAGAGTGACTGTAAATAGAAAATGAAGAGACACGCAGAACAATGGCATAGCGTGGCGGGGTGTGGGGTAGTTGCCCTGGGTCCAAAATTGTTAGGGGTGCAAAATTTCACCACCCGCTGCTGCCTCAAAACAGCTGCACACTTCCGTCACTGTGATCTGTTGACAACGGCTTCTGCATGTGAACCAGGAAGTGACCTCTCCAGACAATGGAACAACTCTTATTTTCTTATCTCTGCAGCTGCAATCTCCTGGGTGATGCGGATGCAGTCAGGCCATTGAATGTTCATGCATACTCCATCCATTTTCCTCTTTCTCACCCACCCATTCGTGTGGCCCCAGGCACTGGCAACCCACACTAGACATAGAATAATATGAATATGTTGTATGCTGCCCTGACATCTTTTTGATGATGGGTGGTACAACAAAACTCCTGGATATTTTCCATCCGTTCTGGAAACCATTTTTCTTAACTTCACATTTAACTTTAATATGCAGTTGTTTAGTATGTATATCTGAGAACAGTGTGTGTGATGCTCCAGCTTAAAGCTAAGGGGCAAACATACAAACACTCTTCACTGAAAACGCTTGGCACAAGGCAAATGATGTGATTTTTATTCTTTCCTTTTATAATACAACTCTAATTCATGTTCCTTGAGCCAGCTCGCATGAAATGTTCTCCCTTAATCAAAGGAAGCACAGTGAGGACCCATGAAAATCAAGCAACAGCCTCTCTGTTTGGTGTTTCATTATAGTTATCCTTTTTCCTGCGCAGCAAGAAAGCAGAGGGCTGCTTAAGAGCAAGGTCAAATCACTAAAGCTTGATCAGTTGGATGATTAAAAAAGATTCAGACTCTTACGCTTTGGCGGCAACAGGATGTCTAAGTAAAAGCAGTAACCAAAATGAAGTAAAATAAAATTATTGAGGGGAAACAAGGCCCTGCCATGTAACCAAGGCTGTTGTGAGCAAATAAAATGTGAATTCAGTCGCCTTTGGACAGCAGAGTTTCCACTTGGTCCATACCACACATTGAAAGCCCTCACATACTGCTGAGAATCCTGGGAAGTGTAGTTTGTTAAAGGTGCTGGGAGCTGTTGCTCTGTGAGCTTAGCACCCTTAACACACTACACTTCCTAGGATCCTCCACGACTGTTAAAGTGGTATGAGTGCTTTAAATACATAGTGTGGATATAACCCTAGCTGGTTGCCCACGTCAACCCATGAGAGGAGTTTAAATTCCATTGTGTCGCCTCCTGTCCACAATCCTCACCCTCATTGAAGCGCAACTGATTTCCTCTTAAATAGGCAGGGCTGGCTCAAGACAATATGGCACCTCAGTTTGGCAAATGAAGTGGCTTTGCCATTCCTTCCTGCCTACCTGCCCACTTATCTTTGTCTTCCCCACCTGGCTGCTTTTCACTGCTGACAAAGCATGTTCTCCCTTGCCCAGAGGAAGGGGTCCTTTCTCAGAGTGAGAAAAGTCACCCAGAGAAAGCCTGTGTTGCCACCATTTTGCCATGAAGGTGCAAATTACTTCTTCTTTTTTAAAAAAGAAAGAAAGAAAACTTTAGACTATTATAGTTTAAAGTGTTGTTTGAAAAAGTATTTTATCAGCAGCACAGGCCTCACCCACAATACCTCAAAACGAGGGAGTGCCTAGTGCGTCAACGGCTTTGTCAGCAGCCAGGAATCTCCAACTGGCCTGGAGGGAGATCAGCAGCAGAAGCAATGGGTGGGCAGCAGAAGAGAAGCTGTGGTGGCAATGATGACCAGCCAAACTACTGGCTGGGAGGGTGGGCTGGTGGGCAGTGTATGGGAGTACAATCCTCTTCACCTTCCCATCCATCCCTTCATCCACACGGCTCAGCAAAGCACATGGTTAGTCTAGTCCTGCAGGCACAGCCTTAGATTTTCCAATTATTTAAGTATGTGTGTGATCTGAAGTTACTGCTTTACTTTCTGTGTATCATAGAAACACAGAAAGTGTTGTTCTTTGAGCTGCACTATCCTCTTTCATCCAAAGGCATCCTTCTCCCTTGAAAGACTGCACCTTTTCCATCCTGTTGTCCCACATGCCACCTCCATGTCCTCCGCTGAATTCCTACTCAAAGTCTGCCTTTTCCATGAACCCTCTGGCACAGAGCTCCAGCTCCCTTGCCAAATTGTAAGCCCCTTAACCCAGAGAATTGGTCTCTGTTAAGTGTCCTGCACATGGACGCTGCTGATTGAATGAATGGATTAATAAAGTGCATTCTAGTCCAACATCTGTTTGATCTTTTGTGGGCTAATAGGAAGGAAAGACAGTGCTTGCTGTGGATATTGTTAAAAAAGAGAGAAAAAATAATGTAGCTATGAAATATAAAACTGTTGAAACAAAGCAGAATCGTGATTCCTTTCTTCTTCCTTCCTAAAACACAAAATGATCGTTTCTTGATACCTCACCCTGTCTTTTCAGTGTTTTCAAAGACACAGCCATCAGAGCTTGGAGAAGCTAGAGGAAGTGGGCAGGTGTGCTTGAAAAATAGAAATTTTGGGAAGAGAGGGTCGGAGAAACAAGTTGGCTGTGGCAGGAGGGAAGGGGAGAAAGAGAGAGATGCGAGTTGGCTGAAGTCACCTTGAATCAGGAGATATAAGGCACCAATCCTCCCAAGAAGCTCTTCCCCAGCTTCTGGCATTTTAATGTTTGAAGGACTTAAAGTTGCACTGATAACCCTCAACATATCGGTATTGCCATTTTATGCTGCTTGAACCCAGTCCACAAACAGTACATGGTCAGCCTGGGAAGAGGAATGGACAGAGAGAAGGGAGAGTGACACAAAAAAATACAGAGAAATAAATGGCTGGGAGAAAGAGGCAGGGAAAGGGATGAGAAATTTGCGAGACAAATGCACAGTATGTATGCAGCAACCCATAAGAAACAGAGGGAGGGAAACGGCGATGTGGGGGTGAAAGGGTGAATATTCAGTGGAGAGAGATCCTACTGATTATGTGCTTCGCGGTGTTAGGAGGGTTGGGATCGACAGCCAGACATCGGCTGCAGGCGTCCAATTGATATAAGACACAGCCATTGGCATGATAACTTCCCACCATAATAGCTGTTATATATGCATTTGCCGATGAGCTAATAATATTCTGGAATAGCTTCCTGGTGTTTTATGTTTGCAGGACAAGTTGTTAGCAATTCAGCATGCTGGTGAGCAGCTTTCACCTTGTGCTTGTTAAGAGTGCACCATTTGATTGTGCTTGATTGAATCTTCCAGGGACTGGCTAAATTAAAATATCAACCTTAAGATATTATTGTTTAACATTTGCTGCTAACACAATTGCCTGATAGTACATATACTGTATAAATATTCCATCAAGGTTTCTAAATGCTTTTTTCTACAATCAGCACATAGGGTGTTTTAAAGGTCAAGTGAGAAGACAGGTTTTCCTTCTCTCTCTCTCTCTCTCTCTCTCTCTCTCTCTCTCTCTCTCTGCCTCCTCCTGCCATTTTTGCATAATTGTAAATGTAGAATGCATGCACAATCATTCAAGTGCCCCTGGTGGTTAAGCTGCTGGTAATTATGTCCCAGCCCAACCCAGTAGCAATTGTGTCATTTTATCCTTTGTGCTTCCACAAGTATAATCATTAAAAACTGGCTGGCTAATTGCAACCTGGATGATGAGCTCGGTCTGTGTAGAACTGGATTTGGTGCCCAAAGCCATTCAAATTTGGATGGATGGAAAGGTCAGACAATCAGTTGATGAACCACAGGGATAAAGGGTGACTTAACACGACAATAACGTTTGTACATTTGCAAGTGTCCCCAAACTGTTGCATGTGGTGTCTTTCTCTTGTTGAGTGACATTTGTCAGCAATGACTGAAAACATCTTTTGGATCGCCTGGCAAAATAGCTTAAAAGGTAATGAAACAAACAGATCTCGTTTACTGCCAAGCTTGTTAAATGTTACTCATGCTGGGAATAGAGTATCATTTGGACTCCATAAAAAGGAAACCAATGATCCACCAAACTGGTCCTGTGTTCAACTATTTCTCACTTTTCTTGGTCATTTGCATTCTCAAATATGCCTATGGGCAAATAGAGCAAGTATTTATTGTCACCAAAGTTAGTTTAATGTTCTTGAAGTACTATCCAGTACACAGTGTTGCCCCAATCCAAATGAAGCTATTTGCACTTAAAGTGACATTGAAATAAATAGTAATAATAATAATAATAACAATTTACTATTATTATGTTTAAGGTAGCAGTGCCCCATTCATTTCAATGGGATGTAAATGCAAAAAAGGATCCATACTTAGGCTGGATCTTGACACATCAAAAAAGTGTTTCAGGAAAACGTGTTGTAAACCTCAAAGTGGGAAAGTGGGAAAAGATGGAACTCCACAGCGCCATCTGGTGTCACAGCGGTGTAATGTATATTAAATGCTTTTTCTTTACTAATGTAACTGAGTCCTTGCTGTTGATATACAGGATACTGACAATACTATTTTGTCCATTAAAAAGAACTTTGAGAAAACAAAGAAGTGACATTACTGTGCATTCTGATCCAAGGTAGTGTAATTTGCTATGAATGACAAAATGAAACCTAACTGAAGATGAACATTTGCAGAGATAAATCTGTAACTGAAATTCTTGAATGAAAGAAAAATTTCAGAATTTTGCATATTAATCATTATTAGTAGTGGCAGAATTTTAATTATAATAGAAATGAATTATTGATCCTTGATACAAAGTAAAGTTTGAAACTATGACAGAAATATTCCAGAAGTGAGTTAATTCTCAATGATAATTCCTGAACCAGAAAAAATATATATGCTAGCCTAAAGATTTGTTCTGATGATGATATTGAATCTTCAGGCCTAAACTCCTCTTTTGATGCTCCCAATTTGTAAAAGATCTATTACGTGATTTGTGTCAAAATATAGCATAATAGCCTCATTAAGCTTTTATCTTCGAAAGGCGATAAAACAATGGATAGTATCAACTAATTGGCATTATTAGGTTGTTATTAACTCCATTATGATCAATTAAATGTAATTACCTACATCTTGTTCAATTAAGTTTGTAGAAATAGCAATTGCTTGTTCTTCCTCAACTCAAATGAACTTTCCCAATAATTACCTATGGGATATTATAATGATAATAAAAAGCACCCCACGCACAGGGGTTTCTTCTAATGAATCCCTACAACTCTTTATAAAGACTATTTTTGGAACCATATAGTATAAGAAAACAAGGGTGTGGGAGTTGCTGGACAGAAAGTGTGGAACTGAATAATACTGAGATGCTTTATTTTTAAGGCCTGGGTCCGGGGAAAGTGTCCCAGGGGCCACAGTATTGATCTGACCAGTCCTCAAATTTGTCTGGTGTCAAGTGTGTTTGAGGTTGTAGCCAGTGGTGTTCTTACTGCCAACCCAGCAGTTCGAAAGCATACCAGAACAAGCAGATACAGTGGTGCCTCGCAAGACGAAATTAATCCGTTCCGCGAGTCTCTTCGTCTAGCGGTTTTTTCGTCTTGCGAAGCAACCCTATTAGCAGCTTAGCGGATTAGCGCTATTAGCGGTTTAGCGGCTATTAAAGGCTTAGCGGCTTAGCTGCTAAAAGGCTATTAAAGGCTTAGCGGCTTAGAAAAAGGGGGGGGGAGCGGAAAAAAATCTCAAGACTCGCAAGACATTTTCCTCTTGCGAAGCAAGCCCATAGGGAAATTCGTCCTGCGAAGCGCATTGAAAAACGGAAAACCCTTTCGTCTAGCGGGTTTTCCGTCTTGCGAGGCATTCGTCTTGCGGGGCACCACTGTAAATAGGTACTACTGCGGTGGGAAGGTAAACAGTGTTTCCATGCGCTCTGACACTCTTCATGGTGTCCCATTGCACTAGAAGCAGTTTAGTCATGCTGGCCACATGGCCCCAAAAGCTGTTTGCGGACAAATGCTGGCTCCCCCGGCCTGAAGCTAAATGAGCACTGCACACCATAGTTAAGGCCGTGCTCTGGTCCATGTGGTCACGAAGAGTCAGACATGACTAAACGACTAAACAACAACAAACAACAAGACTTAACCCTCCAGGGGCACTGGCGGAGGAAGAGGAGTGCGGGGGGAGTGCACCGCCCCAGGCAGCACGATCCCGGTGGGGTGCCATTG